ATTTTGATGGCAAAAATAAATGTCAATGTAATAATAACAAGAAACGCCATCTGGCCCAAATATATTAAGAAAAATAACAAAAGTTTTTCTTTAAGAAATTCATGAAAAACACCCTGAGAGTGGAAGAAACACATGTTTTTTGGTACAACATATCCTTGAAGGCATTAATGCTGATACTGGCAGTTACATTTTTTAGTTTATAAACCTAAATATAATTGTTATCCCAGCTTATTAACTTTTTTATATTACTTTTTAACTTTTAAAATTAGCTTTTTACCTTTTTTTCTTGACTTTTCAACTTTATTTACAGTAGGTAATATATCACTCAAGGGCTCTTTTAATTGGTCGAATGCCAAAATAAGATGTACAGCCATGTAGCAGTATCTTTGCTGAATGGCTGGATATAGATCTTGTGCTTCTAGACCTCACTGAGGGACATGGGGACTCCATTTGTAAGGGGTATACAAGTGATCAAAAATGGTAACTTGCTCTATAAAGGGTTAAAACTGCATTCCCACCAATATAGCAAAATACATCCCTTATCTTTACACCAACAGACTGAACTAATTCTTGCCATATATACTGGTTGCTCTCATAGAGCAGGATTTATCAGAGGGTACCTACAGAGTGGCCTACCTGCAGCTCTCACCTTAACAACATCTGCAGCTCTCACCTTAACCACATCTGCAGCTCTCACCTTAACCACATCTGCAGCTCTCACCTTAACCACATCTGCAGCTCTCACCTTAACCACTCCTGCAGCTGTCACCTTAACCACACCAGGAGGTTGCAGCTCTCACCACATTGACTGACATACAGAAAATAATCTGCAAAGCACTGGATGCGATCCTGCAGCAGTGTGTACAAGCTGTTGACCAACTTACTAAGTTTCCAGACTGATGTGCCTTTGTATGATCCTCTCACACACTACTGAGAGCCCTTTGTTGTTAAAAACTGATGAATTGCTAATATGCTTTTTTTTGTCTGACTTCAATCATTCAATCCTATAAATCTTGAAAGGAGAATATGCTGTTGCTATTGGCAGAGAAGATTTGGAAGGTTTGTCATAGACCAGCGGTCACCAACCTTTTTACAGTTTACAGGGCTAATTCAGGGGCACTGAGTCACAGGAAGGGCTACCAATACTGACCTATGAATGGCAAGGGTCAACGTTCACCTAAACTTCATACATTATAAACATATCTTTATTGTTTCTTTAAATTTATAATTTTCTTTTAGACATTTTCATTTTGAAATCTCTATAAATGCTTAAATGCCATATATGATTAAATGATAAAATGTTCTACAACGCTATTAAAAAAAGAAGAGCAACAGAATACAATGAAATTTCAAACGTAGCTCACTGTTGTTCTATTTTCAGAAGACTCTACGGGCACCTCTTGTGGTCCTTGAGGGCCCCTTGGTGCCCACGGGGACCATGTTGGTGACCCCTGGTCATAGGCCCAACACTCTCCTGTCCGGCTAAAACATAAAATGGACATACTTGCAAACTTGTAACTATTTAGAGGGAAATAAATTAGTTATCCAAAGTTAATAGATTACCTGATAAGAAGCAAGAAATAACTGACCAGACCCAAATGTTATTATGGTTTGTGTTAAGTTAATGTCAAACTAAACTTTAACACAAGTTGAATTGAATCCAGTCTCTTTTTGGTTATAATTTCTTAAACACATTTTAACTTACAGAAAAGAAATTGGGAAATTCTCTGGACTGTTTCTGATTCGTGGAACAAAGACTTTAATCTGTTTAAATAGTTATAAAAGGGTTGTCGCAGTGACCAGCTAAGCTGTGCAATGCAGAAGGGAACAATGGAGTTACTTGGTAACCAAAGAAGAAACAAGCTAAACAATAAGAAATATGTGTGGCATTCATATGAGGTCAGGTTTCTACTGGATACCTAGTTTTAAAGGTCTGCATGTAAATTAGACAATCTGGTAATGATAACTTTTGACTTGTAGAAAAAGATACGATTTTTGATCATGATACTGACTCATCCAAAAATAAACGTGAACATAGTAGATAGCAGTTTTCATTCATTCTTTTTGTAGCTCAAAAAGCTATTGAAAAAATTTAGAGGTGAAAAATAGTGAGGAGAACCATTCTTTGAAGCAGTCTTGTAAATCTTTAAAAGTTGTCATTATTGTTTACCTTCAGAAGGAAAACATTTGTAATTTTTGTCTGTAAACTTGTTTAAATGCAGTTCCTGGAATAAACTTATTTATTTACAAATGAAGAGCTGAGGTTGTTCATTTTCTCATTTTTAGTGAGCGTCGCCGAGCTTCTGGTGGCCTTTCACTGGAGGAAATTCGACGGAACATGCAGTTCTCTCCCATTGATCGAAACGGTTTGTTTGCATAACACATACAGTCCAACTTATGGATGTTTCCTTACACAAATGCACTCTACCTCATATGCAACGTGTAAAGATCAAATTCTATTTTCAAAATCTTTCTTTTTAAACAGCTTGAGCTTGTAGCTTAAAATAATTAGAGTAATTTAATGTTGAAAAATAAAAATGGTTCAAGAGTGAACTTAACTCTCAATGAATGATGTTACATAAATAACGCTCTTGAGTATAAGAGTAAAGAACAGTGTTGTAGTTTAGATGAAAGCATTAAAAGTAAAGCTTTCATCTTAAATGTGAGTTCAATATGCTGTTATCTGAGATTAGTTGCTGAAAATTTCCAGATAAAGATTCATGGGAAAAAAGGGCAATAAAAAAGCAAAAAAACAAATAAATAATAAAAAAAATTCTGAAACCGGTGAGGTACATACTGTAACTCATTGTTCTTGTCTGAACACCATTATCATCGGCTTTTCCCAAAATTGTTTATATTAGCCAGCTATCAAGTTGTTGTCTAACCACTCATTTTTTTAAATGGATATTACAGAATATCTTTTTTTCAGTGTTTGATTGCACTATAGAAACAGAGACAAAACTTTAAAATGTTTTTTTCAATGTATCCCATGCCCTTAAAATTATACTTATGTGTCATTTGGACAGTTACTTAAACATTAGAGCTTCACATATGGTTGGAATTGCAGAAGTTCTATACAAGACATCACGTAGAAGTGGCAGTAAATCACTCTCTTCTTACATTGGCATAAAAAGACATGAGCCGCTGCTGTAGCTAATTGTTGAGGGTAAAATCATTTTGGATAAATATTTGAAAATGGTGGTTTTTGATCTACTGAAAAGTAATCCACATTTATCGATCAGCATCTTCCACAGACAAGACTCATAAAAAGTATTAATACCAAAATTTCTAAAACTTTATGCAAACAAAGAGCCCCTGTAGTTGTTTTACTGGTCTGCCTGTCGATTCTCCTAGAGCTATATATCTATTGTAGCTGATCCCTGAGCAAGCATTGGGTCGCTACTTCCCTTGTATGCAATGAAGCATGATTTTTGACTAGAAACAACTGTTTTATTATCCTGGTGCACAAATTGTTTTGGATAGAAAAAACAAGCTAATTCCTGCAAGACTACTCAGGAGGTTCATACCTCTCTGATTCCTGCCGTAATGTTAGAGACTAACCAAAATACTAAAACGAGTGATCTGGAGTGGAGATACTCCTCATTTCATGGTATGTTGATCCTCCTGAACATGTGATAAGGTGGGGACATAACTGAGTCTAAACTTTGCAATCTAGATTAATAAAGACATTACTCTTGAGTTTTCTGAACTGTCTGTGCTGCGGAAGTTTCAATCTGCCCTGTTCTCCAATTGTCTTTTACAAAATCATAAACTTTTCCAGAGTAGAGAAATTTTGCTGGGAGTGGTCACTGAAAGTGGATTTTAGTTTTTATTCCTGTGGGCTCATTGTTCAAACCAGAAAAGCCCATTAAAGTGCTCACTAGACAAAGCGGGAATTTGCTCCTTCTACGCTGACGCCAGTCGTGGAAGGGTGCTAACTTTAGCACATTACCTTACAATCACCACTCCCGTCTCCTTTCCAGCAGAAGCATAGAACAGAGATGTTGCAGGAATTCCGACAGGCAGTCAATTAGTGTTGCTGCTTGTGTTATTTTTTTAAACCTATTATTATACCTATTAACCTAACCTATTAACCTATTATTATTTAACCAACATAGCAAACTGCTGATGTTCCTAACGCTACATCCAGATGAATGAGCATACACACTAGCCAAGTTCTAGGGCATACCCTTTAAAAAAAAAAAAAGGGTGTTAAAAGGGATCAGAATGAGCTCTAGTTTTTTTATCTTTCCCCTAAAATGATTAAACATGAATTTAAAGATGATTGCAGAAGGATTGTAGAAGCAAATTTTATTATTTTTTCTGTTAATAATAAACATATAAGCTGTCATTATTAATGTGTTAATTATCCCTCTGTTTTATACAGATGTGACTCCATTGGCTCATTTTTTGTTAGAGAGGTGTATTTTAAATTTACTTTCAATTACTACTTTGAACCAAGATAGGAATTTTTGATTTAAATATTTATTCTATGCAGGTTTTAGGTTTTCTGGCTCTAAATTATAATAGATGCCTTTAAACCTAAGTACACGATTTCTAGTGTGAATGGCGAGTTTGTATTACTTTTCAGTAAGAATTAATTTGTGAATTTCTCAAGAAAAGATGACAACACACCAACCAGCATTCTTGTACAAGTAACTCGTACATGTCAATACACATGCAAAGAGATGATGTATATTTTTTTCTGGTGTCTCTCAGGGTATGTTTCTGATCCCATGAGCACCATGAGGTTCTGCTCATCATTCAGCAGCAGCGGCAGCTTTGAAGACAACAGCTGAACTGTTCATCATCCATTTGTGTTCAGTGATATCTCTGTATATAATGTTGAATAAAGAGGGAGTTTGAAGATAAATGATAAAAGATAAATTTGTCAATTTATTAGTAAGTTACTCAATATTTATGTTCCATTTTCCATTATATCAGGTAGATTTTTGACAAATTAGCTTTTGTCAATAAAAGAAAACCCACTTCAGTTATTATTAAATTTATTGTCATGTTGGCCTATTCACACAATCTGTACAAGGAAAGATATTACATAAAATGCTGAAGCTAAACACTACTACACCTATACAGAAGAATAAAACAATAAAGCCTATCAGAAAATACAGCTAAGTATTAGCAACATGGGTCTTTTTGATATTTCACTTCATCAGCAAGCAACAAGCAAATCATCATCAGCGGTCTCCTGTTGCTGATAATGTCTCTGGATAATCATGTCAGAGTGTTGACTAAAACGGCCATTACCAGTTTGAATTACAGACCTCTGATGAAAGCCGCCCTGCTCGTACCCCCCGGGTTGGAAATCTAAAGTGCATCGGAGGTCGGCCAAAGATGCGGGAGTCTGACAGCTATGAATTATTTAATCATCCGTGAGCGGGACTAGGGGTGGATCCTTTTACAGGTAATAGATGATAGCAACTGTACTTGATACTGCCACATTGTGACTAACAATGAAAAGAGGTGGGTCTATTGTAAATATTGTGCCCAGCAGTCAAAACACAAGGTACAGCGAGTTCTTCCTGGTAAATTAGCAGTGACGGCCATCTGATAGCTCATTCTAATATACATGCAGAAAGTAAGAGGCACTTAAGGGATTCTTTTTAACCTCAACCTACATTGTAATTGCTAATAATTTAGGTACATATCCTGCTTTAAACAAAGTTCTCTCAAATTTGGAATTAAATATATCAATTTAGCATTACTTCCCTCCTTCAGATTTTGAAGTAGTCAGTAAAGGATAAGAGGACTGAGCAAACAAAGAAAAAGTGCTGAGGCGCTCTTTGCTCAAAGTGTGCCTGATGTCTTCAATGAGTTGGATGTCTCTGGTCTCTCCACTGAACCTTTGCTCTAATAATTTAGTTTGGATATCTTCATTATGAGATACTTCTTCTCTTCCATCAGCTGAGTTAGATGTTGCAAAATCTATTATTTGTGAAATTTGAATTCCATCTCTATTTAAGTTGTCCGATGTGTTCTCTTTGTCTTTCTCTCCGTTCAGGGAGTTGAATTTGTCTGTTTTAAATGGAAGATCTGCTGCCGCCTGTTCTACAACCAGCTCCAGACTGCTGTTGGCGGACCCAATATTTTGATTCTCAAAATCATCCTCAGCATTGAGAGAGGCTGAGAAACCGTCGGTTCTAAAAGCAGTGTTTCCCTCTTCTTTCTCTTCTGCCTTTGATCCCCCACTGTCAAACTTATTTAGTTCCAGGCTTTTCTCTTCAGTCTCCTCACTGCCTTGTAGTCCACCTTCCACTAGCTCTTTCTCACCCTGCTCATGATCATGACTCTCCTGAGCCTTTATCTGAGTTACGTCTCTGGGCTCCTTTTTGTCCTCTGCCATTCTCATCGGGCTCTCTGATCTTAGAAGCTTTTCAGAATCGTTTTCTCCACCATTTGGATCGCATACTGGCGCATCTGGAACATCTTCCTTCAGTTCTTCTAAGGGCTCTACAAAAGTCTCAAAAAACTTTGACATTTGGTGCATTTGTATCCAGTTTGTGACCATATCTGTATTGTCACCTCCAGCTAAAGCCTCTGGACTTTCCTTAACTACAGCATTGTTTTGCGTTAGAGGCTTGAGCAGCACACTTGCTCCTTCCTCTGAGGCCTTGCTTGCCTCCTCTACGTCCTCTCCATTCTCTTCTGTTTCAAGGGGCTTTTCAGTAATAGACTGAAGCTTCCCTTCCTCATCTTGGTCAGTTGTTTTCTCTACATCAGCAGCTATTTGTACTGAAGAGGTTTTATGTAAAGTATAAACCTTAGCCGCATCATTCCCAGTGTTTTGGATCAAATTGAACTCTTTGTTTTCAGCTTCCCCGTTTCCACTTTTCTCCTCTTGTCTTTCTGCTTCTGATGTGCCTGGCTCAGAGTCCAGGTTTACAGCATCACCATGCTTCACCCTGACACCATCTGCTTCCTTAGCATCGCTCTCTGCGATACCGATCTCTGGGGCTTGATCAGTCAAGTTTTCAGCATTGTCTCCAGACTCCACGGCTATTTTTTTCTCTGGGCTCCTGTTTTCTTCATCTGGCTCATCTGTCTGTCTTCCTTCGCCAGATGTCGGAGCATTTTCCTCATCCTCTTGAGGTTCACGCTCAGCTGCGACAGAACTTTCCCCATTTTCAGTGTTGATTTCTCCTTTTTCACTTTCCCTCTCTACTTCTCCTTCACCAGCCCCAGCTTGTGAAACATCTGGAGTCTGCTCATGCGTCTCAGTCCCATCTGCCACTTTGCTTTCACTGGCGTTCTCAGAGTCAGCAATATTTTCAGGGAAAAGTTCCACATTTTCTGTATCCAAGTAGCCATCTTGCATTTTTTCAAGTTCGTCTGTGTGCTCCAATGCCTCCCTTCCCTCTGATATACTGTTTTTAATTACATCCCCACATACTTCATCAGTTTTAGCCTCTTCACATTTTTCTTTCTCAACATCCTCTGATTGTCGCTCTTCCTCATCTTTTTCTTGTAAAGCTTTGTTTGTCTTACTATCCACTGCATCTGCCGGACCTTTATCATCTCTCTTTGCTTCAAGTTCTTCCCCATCGATTGCAACCTTAACTCGCTCACCTTTAGCCTCTGTATCAGTCTCTGTAACTCCATCTTCATCGCCCTCACCTGGGATATCTTCTGTCCCTTCTGATGGGGTTTTCTTATATTTGATGGATTCAGCAGCCACGCTTTCATCAGGAATTTCTTTCGTTTCATTTTCATCTGCTGTTTTCTCCTCAGAGTTTGCAAGTGTTTGTATCTCTGCTGCTTCATTGACTTCCACAGGTTCGCCCTCTCCATCATCTGCTTTTGATGCTTGCTGTTTTGATTCTAAATGCATTTCATCAAAACTGCTCTGGGTTTTCACAGTTTCCGCATGCATATCTGATGTTCTCTCAGCTGTGGATTCCCAAAACTCCTCTGGTGATATGCGTAAATTCTCCACTGTGACTCGAGCTTCCTCGCTGTCTGCCTGCATCTTGTCGATGCCGGTTTCAGGTACCTCTTCACGGCTGAGGGCCTCTCGCTCCTCTGAGGACTCCGCTTTGATCTCCTTTGTCTCGGTTGTAGCTGTTGCCTCCGCCTCAGCAATATCTGCCACTGCTGTTTTATCCATCTGCTCACTCTGCTCCAACACTGATGAGTCATCCTCGTCTTTGCTTTTTGCCAATTCCTCTGTCTCATCATAATAAATGTCAGGTTTCTCTGCATCTTTTCCCCCTTTTTCTTGAGTGTTACTGGCAGCCTCAACATTTGAAGACTCACTTCCCTCAAAGGGATCCTCTATCTTGTCATCGTGTGCTACATTTTCTCCATCAACAGTAGGCTGAGTTTTCCCTTGTTCTTCTGACTTATCCCCTCTTGTGGTTTCACAATCTGCAGCCTCCTCATTCTCCACAGCCTCACTGGTTCTCTCTTCCTGGGGGTTGTCGCCATGGTCCGGCTCATTCTCCTCTTCTGTTTCTGGAAACTCTTTTTCTACGGCTTCTTCTCTTACACTTTCTTCACAATTTGCCTCTTCTGCGGGTGTCTGCAGTTGTTCTGAAAACAGGAAAAAAAGTTCAGATAGTTAAGATCAATAATTCTAATATGGCATCATTCAAAGTGGCTTCCAGAAACATTCATACTTACAGTATTAACATTTTTTCATAACAGACCCACAAGCTTTAATGTATCTTAGTGAGGTATACTGTGATAGAGCAAGATAGGGTGACCAGACATCCTCTTTTTCCCGGACATGTCCTACTTTTCATTTCAAAATCGTCCGGGATTTTGCTCGACTACAATGCAGCACATAATCGAAACAAACTGGGCACTTAAACTGAGCTGTCCGCTCCGGGGCTGGTCCGGGAACCCCGGCGGACTTGGGCAGGGAGCCAGCAGCGGTAACAGAGGTTGGGTGCAGCTATCTTTGTTCAGAGAGTTTTGAGTTAGTGTTTTTTTTTTTCCTCTCTCCCGCTGCTCCCGTGTCCCGCCTCTCGGTGCACCATCATTGGATCTGTCCCTTTAAGACATCTGAGTTGCGGTCGCATTTCATTGCTTAGAGAGTAGCAATGTGGAGTAGGAGAGACACACAGCAGCACTCAGTGAATATTAGCCGGCAGCTAGTTCGATGTTTAAGTAAAAGTTGGGAGACGGGTTGCTTAAAATAATTAGAGATGCCACCAAAAATCTGTTCGTTAGACATACAGAGCTTTTTCAGCTAAAAATGGCAACAGATTTTAACTTTAAACAAGTTGGTATTATAACACAAGAAGAGAAAACATTGTTTGTTCTTCTTTACTAGTTAAAAAAATCTTGGCTTCTCAGAGGACCATGACTCCCAGTTACAGGTTAAAATTAACATGTTTTTTTTATTGTGCAGATATAATCGGACTGCAGAGCTTCTACTTATCTTGAAATTTTGTTTCTGGCATCATTATATTAGTAAAGCGGTTGAAAAATCTTTTTAAACAGAACAGAGAGAAGTAGGGAGGGCTGCAGATTTAAAGGTGAAACAGATTTACTGAGATATGCAACATGCAATAAAATATCACCAAGTTTACTACAAAGTTTACAAGAAAAAAATACGCTATGTTATATTTAAAATGCAGCATATCCAATTTTTTTCTGGATGGAACTGAAATTGTACTTCTAGGGATGCATGATATATCAATTTTAGCATTGGAATCTGCTCTTATTAATAATTTTTTTCATGCATGGATGTTTTTGGGCCCTATATTGTAATGCACTAAAAGCCATCTCTCTAACATCTATAAATATAAATATCAGTGTGTTATGCTCTTGTGTTCTCAAAAATAGGAAAGCATTTAATATATATATGTTTGAGCTCATTTTTGGAAATGTATTTATTTTTATTTTATTTATTTATTTATTCATTTATTTATTATTTGTTTATTTATGGTTTTATTTATTTTTTTATTTTTAACAGTGTCCTGTCTGGCAATGTGGCAATAAATGTCTTGATGCCAAAAAGAGCCCAACGGATTTTACTTTCACAAGTGGAGCAGTAAGGCTATCGCCATAGTGTTCCGCTTGTTTTATGCATATAAATTGCTTTATTATAATTATGCAGGGAGTTTTACAGATTATATGGACACTGCAATGTAAGCAGAATTTTTTGGAAATTTAGCCTAATGAAAGTATAACTGTAGGTCCATGAGCCACTGCCCGAGTGTCCCCACCAACCTTCATCACAAAGGGCGAGGGGAAGCACGGTAAGGAAGGCGGGTGGAAGCATACCATCACCGTGTCGGGTTCGTTCACTCTGTCCCCGACTGGCTCCCTGCCCCTGTCCGCTAGGGACCCCCCAGAACCCAACCCCCAGAACCCCCACCCCCCCAAAAATAAAAAACGTGTCCTCCATCTGGTCACCCTAGAGCAAGCAGAATTAGTACAATATGGTATTTACTACTGATGTTATGAGATGAGCAAAGGCTTTGAGGTGTGTGTCGAGTAGTGGAGGGGGCATTTCCGCAAAGCGCATATCGTGGCTTGCTTCATTTAGGGGAGGGGCCAAAATCAAATACGTCCGAAGCCTCGCTACCCCACCACACCACGTGACTGCTTCGGGAAGTGGTTCAGCTCACTGAAAAACTTCGACAGGCATTTAAATAGCCCCTGTATTCAG